ATACGATCATTAACTCTTAAATTAATTACATAATAAGTTGGTCATATAATATTTGACTTTTCTTAATTACACATTTATTATGCGCCTTAATTGATTCTTAATTTTACCATAATCACCCCGACCAATCTCAGCTAATCGATCACTCATAATCCAACTCGTGATCCACGTGACCATATTTCGAACACGAAGTCATCGAGTTCAACTCTTATTTATTTATTTATTATTATACACTTATATATTATTTTTATTCGCAATCTTCCTCTACTATCATCCCTCTCACCACATAATCCATGGCCCAAATTTTCTTGAAGAACCGATCCTGCCCGTGACAATATGTAATTACAAAATTGAATAATTTATTATTTAATAGGAGTACTTACTAAAATATATATGTGGAAAAAGGATATGAATTATTACATAATAGTGTGCAAATTATTTATAAAGTTATAATAGTAGCAGCGTTGTATTTTTTTTAATATTAAAGTCCAAGCTGGTCAAAGATATCTCAATAATTTATAACGAGAAACTGGAATGTCTCAATAATTTATTGGAAATTGGCATAGATCTGGGCATAAATTTTTATGTACTGAACACATAGGGTCCCAGTAAAGTCGAAAATTTTAAATCGATATGCACTGCCTAAACCTCTAGACAGATAAATTATAGAAATTGGTACAAGTCCACTTGTTATAGTGAAACGATCTGTTCGGTTTTTTAAAAATTCACTTTATTGAGAGTTTTGTATATGTTATGTCAAATCAACTATGATATTGACCAATCAAAGGACACATCAGGAAGTATATTTTTTATAAAATACAGGTTTACATAAATGTTATAAGTTATTAGTTCTAGAATTACCGTTTCGCAGTTTCACCTATATGCGACTTATCTTTGAGACAACATATGACTATTAGTAGGATCAACCAGGTATCAATAGGACTTTAGATTAAATGTTTGAGGTTTCTTAAAATTCTTTAATTTTTTCACAATTAATTAATTCAATACGCAATTAGAATCGGTCTTTTACTAAGGGTTTTTACTTTTTTAAAAAATTAAGTATTTATCATTATTTTTAACTTATCGTGTACACATGTTTGATATAAGACCTAACATATCACTTATATTAATATACACTGCGTAGTTGCTAAATCACTTTTAGGTTTGGTTATTTTCTATTAAAGAGAAGGGGATTTCAAGTAAGTTTCTTAGTTTTAATAATTTTGTAGCATTTATTTAACAAATTTGATTGACTTAATCGAAAGTGGGATATATATTTGAGTTTTGGTTATTATCCAAAATGAATTAGAAATCTCGATTTCCAAACCTAAACATATAGTAATGTTATAATAATAAAAAAAAAGGTTTTGGTTGCAATCCTAACTACAGCTACAGTTTAACTTCCACGGTAAGTTGTGTAAGAGAAAGGTGCGATCAATAATGGAACATGATAATGTTGTGTGAGATCCTTTATTTGAAAAACGACCTTCAGAATAAACCAATCAATCAAAATAATGATTTAGTAACAATTAATAAATCTATCATTTTTTTCAAAAATAAATATACCTGAACAAAGGGATAAAATGATTCTTGTCCATAACTTTTAAAATAAGGAGTAGTGAAAAAAGTGAGACGATAAATTGCTTTTAAATCTTCATCAGAATAATTGGCCAAAGATATTTGATGATCGGAGGGGACTAAGTCTGAACATCTTCCATCTTCATTTGTTTTTCTGAATTTACGTAATAAAGTTATTTGAAATGAGTAATTGGTTGATATCGAATAGGCATTTGTTTAAATTGAGATAATTACGTTTTAAGTAATCCAATTTTTGTCACTGCCAGTCTCTTGATATTCCAATAAGACCTCGATATTTTTTCCAGGAATTCCGCGTGAAGAATCAAGTACGTGACAAGTTATTGAACCACGTTTTTGTGTAGACATTATCGTGTTGTATTAATTAACGTTAAAAACAATCAGCATCACCAGATATCGATATCGATATGGAAAATTAAAATGTAGTGTCACGTATGCAATGCAATACAGTATAAATGCATTTTATAATCAAGACTAATAACGATAAGTTCATTAGCAACATCAATGGCAAATATTTCAGAAGAATGGCTCGAAAGAGCTATTTCAGAAGGACATATTAATTATCTCGAATATAATAAATTTACATATCGTAAAGTAATTGGTACAGGAGGTTTTGGAACAGTTTCTAAATACGAATGGAAAGACTGCGAATTAACAGTTGCTCTCAAATGTCTTAAGGTCGATACAAATTTAGATGAAAAAATCATTAAAGATTTTATTAATGAGGTATTATTTATTAATATTTATTAAATAATATTAAAATTGAATTAATACATAAATTATTGATAAATTATTGATAAAATTTATATAATATATGTAATAAAGCTTAAACTATTAAGAAAAGTTGGTTACCATCCAAATATTATTACATTCTATGGGGTCACTAAAGGTATATATTAAGATACTTATATTTTTAAATACTGTCAACTCTCTCTAACTGAACATGGACAAATTGAATGTTTAATAAACTTTGTCTGAACTGAACTATAAATTTGAAATTTTATTTTAAAAATTCGTACATATATGCGCCCCAGAGATTCAGTATATAGGGAGAATTGACAATATATTTAAAACACAATTATACTAAGAAATTTATTATAATACAAATAGACAGCAATAGATATTATAATATAGTTTTACAATATGTTAATGAAGGAAATTTGTAAGAATACCTAAAGCCAAATTTTATAAAACTATAGTGAGCTGATAAATTATTTATTGCTAAGGGGGATAGTGCTTAGTTTTTTATTTTTACATGAAAATAATATTATTCATAGAGACCTTGTGAGTATAATGATTATTCCTTTTGTAAATTATCCTTTTATAAAATTTAATTTCCGATGCTTTGATAATTTAGCATATTTCATAGCATTCAAAAAATATTTTAATACATCAAAAACAACCAAAGACAGCAGACTTTGAATTGTCAAAACAAATAAATGAGATGTCAATGACCTCAAATTCAAATGCTCATGGAGTAACAGCATATATAGAATCTAAATTTCTTGTTAATCATAAATATAAACATAATATTAAATTAGACATTTATAGCTTTAGAGTAATTCTTTGGGAAATTTCAAGTAAAAGACCACCATTCCATACTTTTGAGACAAGAAAATCGCTTGATATTCATGTCTTCCTTAGAAATAGAGAGAAACCAATAGATGGCACACTACTTCAATACATTGAACTTTATAAACAATGTTGAGACAAAGAATCTGATTATTGTCCTGAAACAAATTTAATTCTCAAAACTTTAAATCAACTCATTGTTAGTGAAAATTCAAGTCAGTCTAGCACAAATAATCAATTAAAAATTATTAAAATTCATATCAAGATATGTAAACAAATATAAATCTACTTGAAACTACTGCATCTTCAATTTATTTCCCTGATACAATTAATTCAGTAAGCGCATATGAAATTATGATATCCTCACTCGAAATAAACTCAAATCACTCAATACAAGATAAAATAAAAATATACTTGAAAATAAAAGAAAACAAACATATGAATATTTTAACGAAGGCAAATATTTCAAAGCATTAGAACTTTGTGAAGAAAATCTCAAGAATAGCTAACATAATACTGAAGATCAGAAAAATGCATTCAACTGGGATCTTATTAAATAAAATTTTGATTCTAAAAGAATAGATGACTTGATAAAAGTACTTTGCAAAAACACTAGCTGATTTCATTAGATCTTTTTTATAATCAACTTGGATCAGAGGTTAGAAAAGCATTAGCAGATGCATTTGGCAAAAACACTATGCTGACTTCATTGGATCTTTATTGGAATGAACTTGGATCAGAGGTCAGAAAAGCATTAGCAGATGCACTTTGTAAAAACACCATGCTGACTTTATTGGATCTTTACGGAAATGAACTTAGATCAGAGGGAAGAAAAGCATGCGCATTTAAATAGCAGTATTCTTCTGTTCGATGGAGTTTAGCAGATGCACTTTGCAAAAACATCACGCTGACTACTTTGAATCTTCAATACAATAATTTTGATACAATAAACAAAAAAAAGATTTAAAAAATTTAAAATACAAATAGAATTGTAAATAATAATTAATAAAGTATATAAATTATAAAACGATGATGTTAAGATATTTTCTGTTATGATAATGTACAATGATGTAATTTAGTAATTTTCCATAAGCCAATGATAAATAAATTTTAACTAGAATAGTTTTGTTATCTTATTAAAAATAGTAATTTACTACTATTTAATACAAAAAAGTAAATTAATATATAGTAATTCAGAAGTTGAATTCATTTTAAGCATACGATAGTTCTATCTAATCAAGCAGATCAGCAATAATAATATTACTAGTATTATTAATTCAGAACTTTACCAAAGTGTTGATTACATGAAGGATGATTCTAATTTGGTAGACTTCGCTCAAGTTATAATACATTATAAAATTTCTTAATAGCTAAAGATTGAACCCAAGTAGAAACAGAGTGCTGCAAAGCAAAAATCTGTAAGTAATAATCATAGTTTTCATTTCAGCGAACTTAGCTCTTATTAGAATTGAGATATTATTATAGATAATTAATCATTATATAATCAGTGTTCGATCTTTTCGATAATACATATTGAGTTTATAAATAAACTATCTTAGTTGGGATTTTAATCATTCATAATATTCATGATTTTGAATTGTCAGGATTTGACTTGTCGTGATTCTGACTTGTCAGGATTTTGACTATCGGTGATTTTGAATTGTCAGAATTTTGACTTGTCGAGATTCTGACTTATCAGGATTTTAACTGTCAGAATCTTAACTATTCGGGATCTTGACTATTCAAGATCTTGAATATTAGGATCCTATACTGTCAGGATTCTGTCTTTGTCAGGATCTTGACTTGTCAGTATTCTATCTTAGTTAGAATTATGGTTGTTAGGATTATATATTGTTGGGATTTTGGAAGTCAGGATTTTGTAATAAAACCTTTCTAGGTTTAGTTTAGGTTTATGAATAAAATTCATTAAACCTGAACTGAACTTCAAATTTTGCAGATCATTGAATCTAAACCTGAACTGAACTTAAAATTTATGAACCTGAACTGAACCTGAACTTAAATTAAAAGTTCAATACTGAATCTGAACTGAACTTTTTTTTTAAAAAAGTTCAAGTTTAGTTCACGATTGAACTGAACCTGAACCTGAACCTGACCAAAGTTCAGTTCAGTTCAGGTTCATAAGAATACTAACTTTTGGTATCTCAAGTTTATCTTGCATATACATTCTCTTCTTAGCAAGGTTATTTGCATAATCGTTTCCTGCATTACTACTATGTCCTTTAACTTTGTGTTGTTTTAGGTTGAGATTTTTAGCTTTGCAACATTCTTGTATTTGCCTTAGTAGGCTTCAGTTTTTTGTTTTGAACTATTTGCAAAGTTTACTATTATTTCTGAATTTTTTAATTACTTCAATCACTGTCTTGCTATCTGTGAATATATAAACTTGTGCTCTAGCTGGAGTTGTTAGCAGAGCAGTCCATATTGCTCCTAGTTCAGCATATGTAGAAGAGAGCCAGTTTTCTATACTACTACTAAAACTAATTTCTCTAGCTAATCTATTTTCTAATTTTACAATTTAACCTATTCCTATCTTGTTTTTTCCCTTACTATTTGTTACTATTACCCCATCTATGTAAATTTCTACTATCTCATCATCTTTTAGCTTTTCACTTAGTTCAAGTAGGTTCTGTTTAATCGAGCTGTTTCTAATAGATTTATGTATAATTGCATTTTTAAGAGAGTTGGCTACAATTTCTACTCTAACTTTTTGTAGTGGTCTGAAGTTAGATACTAATTCTTTTTTTTCTAAGTATGCTGCTATAGGTGCTTTGAGTAGAATTTTTCTTTCTTCTTTATGAACATCTATAACCTGGTACTAATTTCTTATTTTAATAGTTAATTCACATATACTATTATTGAATTTTCTTTTGTTACATTGTTTGCACTTATAGAAAATTTCTGTTTTCTCTCCTAATATTATTATTTTCTTTCAATACTCTGCAATTATACTTTTTCTAGTCTTTCAAATAGTTTTGCCTACATGTTATTCATAATCTTTCAGTACTAATAACTATTCTTTTTTCCTTCTGTCTTGAGAGATTTTTCTTGATGCGACTCTGATTGACTTCTTATTTTTGCTATGTAATTGGTATATATCTAGTACTTCTCTATTACTGTTTTGTTTTAAAACTTTTTGTTCAAGTTTAGAAAACTAGCCTAGTATACATCTTTTGCTTTTGCAAGCTCATATATATTTAATTTGTTGTCAGATTAAGAGTAACTTTCTAGTACTATCAATTAGTTGTTCAAGTGTAAATAGATTCATTCTGTCTGTAGTTACAAAGGAGAGAACTTCTTTTTTTTCCAACAGACTAATTATTTTAGTTCCTGTATTATCTAGATTTACTGAATTTTCAGAGTATTCATTGATTCATAAACCTATTTTAGCTACTTTATAAAGTATTTTATATACTAGATTATGTTTTGGTACTGTTTTGTTGAACTTAAACTCTTTGCTAGTAGGACTTATAATGTTTTTAGTTTGTAGTTAACTCTCTTTTAGTCTTGATCTAGTGATTGCTCTTATCATATCTTGTCTGTTAAGCCAAATTGTAAGCTCAGTAAATTGTTGTACTAGCTGGTTTTGCCAAATTGATTTAAGATCTAAAAAACTATTATAGTTGCAAATTAAGTTTGCTACTGTACTTGCTAAGCCTAATTTGTTTTTGATCAAGATCCAAATTAGTCTTTATAATTGATTGCAAATAGCTTTTGAGAAGAAAGTTGTTTGCAATCTATACTCTATATTTGGTAAT